TCTTGGCAAATCTTGGTATAGTTGATTACCTTTGATGGCAGAATTCTTATCGTACCTCTACTGTACTTTACTTATGCTCTGCATCACATGTGAATTGGGTTCAATACCGTTCACATGCGCACTCTTATGTTTAGGCACTTTTAAGTTTACATTTATTCATATTTTTCCACATCACTACACTTTCTGGCTCACCTTCCTAGTGTTGGCCAACACAGCTCGATTCGGAGTCTAGGTGGACATTCTGGGTTGGGGTGTATTTTTTGTTACAAGTTTGTTACTTTTGAGTTGCGATGTCTAGGTCGAATTGACCACTCGGTCGTTTTCTTTAGTGTTGCTCCCTCGATGGTTGTTGGCAAGACTTTCATGGCAGCGACGGAAGCGAGCACTGCTTTCTTTGGTTGGAGATTAGGGATTAGAGTTTTTGTTTATTTGATTGGGCTAGGCTTTGTGTATCCATTTCCCCAATGTGTTTTGGGTTATTTTGCCTTCCTTTGAGTTGGCTTGTAACCTCATTTCTGTTTAATGATTGTTACTTTTTGACCTTTTTTTTTTTTTGATATTTCCTTTTGTGTACACCCCAATTAAGATCTACTCCAATCTTTAGAGTAAAACTCAAATTTTAGCTTCTAAACCCATCCCAACTTACTCTAACCCGTGGCCTTAATTTTGGGTTAAAACTGATTTTTGGAGCAAATTTAACGCAAGAAACCGATCAGGGTAAATGGCTTGGCCTACTCTTGCGCATGGACTCCCCAAAAAAAAGAAGAAAGTTGCAGCCTACCTACAGCGCATGACAGTGGGGGACCTATTGGCCTATTGTCAGGGCATCTGTTGGCCACGTGCAGCCTCCCAACAGCCTTTTTCGAGATTGAATGGGCAAGATTAATGGATCGTTGGTTGATCCAACGTTCCATATTCATTTTTTTTATCTAATTTAAACTACATAGTTGAGATCCAATATAATCAAATCTAACAGTAAAAAAATAAAAATAAAAAAAAAAAAAAAAAACCTAACAACCCAAAATTAAATCCCACGGCTTAAACAATTAAAAAAATCATTTAAATCAAAATTCACCCAAAAAAATAATCTAAATATTTTTAAGTTAAAATGTTCATAAAATTAAATTATGAATTACTTTTAAAAAAATTAGCCTAAATTCATTCTTTGGTAATCTCAAGCTAAAAATTTAACCTAGGAGGGTTAGAGTAGAAAAACTATTTATGGGTTAGAACCTAAATTTTTTGTGTTAAAAAATTTTAAATTTTAACCCAAGTGTTGGAGATGGTCTAATAAGATACTGAACAAATGTTGACTCTTACAACCAAAGATGAGAATGGAAAAAAGTGTACTACTTAGTTATCATTCTGTAGCATTTCCAATTTCAAGCAGTATAATGAAAAATTTAGGAGCCATTCAATAACAATTTCGTTTTTGGTTTTCAATTTTTATTTTTGAAAATTGAAAATCGGTTTGGTAACTACTTTTTTTTTTCTTTTTAACTGAAGAAAGTATTTTTCATTTTTTTCCTTTAATTGAAAATTGAAAGTAGTTACCGAATGAGTTTATAATAGTAAGTGAGATTTAAAAACCCAAATGCATTCCTGTCCCCAATGAACTCGTCCCATAACCAAGCACAGCTTAAATGGTTAAAATTCAAAATTTTGATAGTGATTCTTGCCTGAGATTTGTTGGTTCCTAAGACGGTCCAATAGTTTTTCGTGAAACAAATTTTAGGAATCCACATTGTACAACGGCCTACCATAAACTGAGACAAATTCACCCCACACCTCCATGACTTAATTTTCTCTGTGAAACCTCATTCTATTGGAATTTAATCAATTACAACCTCCAATTTCTATATTTTTTTTCTACGTAGAATTTCTCGATTTTTATGTTTGTAAAGCCAAACAAAAAAAAAATAGTACTTGTTAATTAAATTTTCCAACTTTGATCCAAATTTAAATGATTTCTTCCGTCCAGTATAGTAAAATATGCAAGCAAAATTACTTAGAAATGAATGAGCTACGAAACCTTATACTAAGGGATTTAAAATGCAATCTACATGATCATTATAAAGACATAAACAAGGAATTTACAAGTGACAAGTACTAATTTGCAAATTCCCGTTAATGCATCGATCAAATCCCTTCAATTAATCTCTTTTAGTGCATTTCTAAGTTATTTAGCCTAAATATGTTGGTACTTGCAAATACCTCATCTAAACATAACCTAGTTGTTGTTGTTTTTTTTTTCTTGGTGAGAATTTAAACCGGTAACTATCTAATCTACCATAAAGTATCGAACTAAACCAAGATCGGATTATAAATAACTCAAGTAGTAAGAGAGACAAATCTTCAATTCATCCTGGTTTATTTCGGATTTACTTGAATCCCACAGATTATGTGAAATTTAATTTAATTACGTTTTGATTAAATGCAGTTGCAAAATAGATTGGTTAGAATGCTACTATAAGTTGACAGTTATGAAAATTTGTGGTCATTGGTTAGGGACCTTTGTTAGTCAAAGACATCGCACGTGTCTTATCACTTAAGCTAAATTTTATTAACATGTGACGTAACATTGATTTGATTCTCTCAAGCAAATTACGTTTACTAAAGTGGTGGAAAGCAATCATATCCATGCACACCTCCCCCTAACAATAAGTGTCCTGATACCCTAAGAACACCAAAATTCTCAATCAAATCATAAAACAATAGAAATTTGATATATATTCACCAGTTACACTAAGAAGAACCAATAGCAAGTGTCCTGTCATTTTGCCGGGAAAATGAGAAATATGAAAAAGAAAGTTCACCTTGAATTTGGAGTCTTTTATTTCTTGCACCTCATCAATCTACTGGGGTGGGCGGTGTAATATCAAACTTGGGCCTAGTAAATGGTGACTTAGGTCTACAAAGAACATAGGTGCTCGGCCCATATGGGTTGCAATCAACGTGAATACATCCAAACCCGACTCAATTTCCACCATCAGGCCGAGCACCATCGGACGAATTATAATTAGGTAAGAACTAGTATGAACCCAAGCTGATCAATTTTCGAGTTGGCTTGGGTTCAGGCCTTGCCCCCTCGAACTAACCTAATCCTAGTTCAACTCCTTGCTCGACTTCTAATAAATAAATGGATAATGAACCCTGGTGGATTTCTATTTTTATTTAAACTTCAATATTATTCGGAAAGAGGATTTTCGAACACAAAACCTTGATTGCATTATTAAATATAATTACATGTGCGACAAGCCTCTTGTAACAAGCTTATAAGTTTTTGTGCTTTTGTTTAGTTGAATCTTGAAACTTTTCCACTACTGTTGTTGTTTAGTTTGCAATTCTGCAACAAGCCTTGGTTGCAACTTTTCAAGGTATTGAGCGAATTTAGGTTTAATTTTGGTATGATTCAAAAGAATACTTGTAAAATACTTTGGCAAGAAATTATAAAATTGGTTGGTATTGGGTTGAGCCCATGGGTTAGTTTTGTGGATTGAGCCCCAAACCGGCAAAGCTGGACAACCTAACAGCGAATTGGACATTTTTCTTAAAAAAAAATTCGCAGTTGAAAGGAATATGTATTATTCTTATTCATGTTTTAGTAATAACCAAATTAATGAATAAAATAACTGAAAATATGACTTTAACCCCTCAAATTCAATTATTTTTTCATATAAAATTCGACATCAAATATGCATAGAATTAATTGTGCACATCAAATATGCAATAGGGGTATTTTAGGCATCTCAAAATGTAAAATGTGTAAAGTAATATGTAATTAATGAATTCAGGATCCTAGTCACTGGGTTTTTTTTTGGTAAAAAAATTATGTCAGGTTTTATATGGAAAATTTTGAATTTGAAGGGTTAAATTCATATTTTTAGTTTTTTTTTTTTTAACCATTTGCAGTTTAAACTAAATCTTTTATAAACTTTTGTAGAGTAATTCACGAGGCTAAAAAAAGCGTCAATTTTATTATTCTGCTATTTGAATTTCAAAATAATTCATATGAAATTGAAAATTTTCGATAGAGTTACAATATTAGGGATTAGGATTCTATATAGATCCTCTTTTGTAGAGATTTGAAGGACCAATTAATCGTGTCCACTTATCGTACATCGTACAACCAAAAATCATTTTGAATTTTTTTTATTTAAAATTAAACATAAATAGTACCTAATAAAAACTGATTTCATGATGTATAATAAATGGACACGATTGATCATCGAAATCCTCATCAAGAGAATCCAAAAATAATGTCTCATCCCAATATTAGGAATCAGGATATCATGAGACTCTTGTGTCATTTTATATTGTTGCCAATGTGACATGTCCTTGTCATGTGGTTGATAATAAGGCACGTCACATGTTTCCCTCGTCGACTTTTATTATATTTGCCAATTGGTCATGACATGCAATGCATGCATGCACATGAGACAGATCTTACACCAACCAGCAATTTGACCATCAGACTAATTATGAGTTTATTTGGAAGTACTTTTAAAATGGTTAAAAGTATTTTTAGTGAAAACATTTTTGAAATCAATACTCTGTAAAAATTCAAGTGAATCATGGAAAAACACTTAAATGCTTATTAAAAGAAACATGCAACTGGTATTTCTTAGAAGAAGCACATAACTGATTTTTTTTGCATAAAAAAAAAAGCACATGGCTGATATTTTTTACATAAAATACTTCAAATGCTTTTGAAATCCAAAAATATTTTCTCACAAAAACTTTGATCATTTTTAAAACATTTCTAATGGAGTCCTAAATTGATGCATTCGTTTCGATCACTACCCAAAAAATGAGCTGGATTTGAGTTCGACACAAAAATCCCATGCAAAACTGTTTCCTCTTTTGATAACGACGGTCAAAGTCATTAGGAACGTTGAGGTGCAAAACGCGGGAAGCGCGTACATCAGGACCGGAATGGACCCCCTCGAAACGGTCACGTTTTGCCTCTCTCTCACCGCCTCCCCTCGGCCGTCTATTTCTGTATAAAGGTTGTTGAATGCTGCAGAAATCTCACGTGTCGTTCCCGAAGCCCCGACCCTCCCTCTCAACACAGAGGGAGAGAAACGCAGACATATTCTTTGGGGAACTGATTCTTCCACTGCTCTGCTACGCTCCCAAAATTCCGTTTTTTCAAAAGGGTATGTGAAAATTGTTCCTATTTTTTTTTTTTTTTTAATAATTTTACATTCTGAAGATTCAATTAAATTACTGGGGAAAAAATGGGTTCATGGGTTATTGGGTTAAGCTCAAAAGATAAGAACTTGATAATTACAGGTGGGTTTTTTAAATTTTCGAATCGAATTGAAAATGGAGAAATTATCAATTTTTGATATGATAATTTATACTTCAAGTGATGCAAATTGCATGAAAGCGACATAGAGGTGTGTTTAATATCTAGATTTGTATAATTTAGTTTTTGTTGGGACTATCAGATCCATGAATTGAGGAGCATTATGGGAGCTGAAATGTCTGTTTGTTAGGCATTTGAAGTGTGTTGAATGTTTGATTATGCTTTGGGGCCGGCATTTCGTTTCTGTAGAGACATAATAAGTCTGCATTGTATCTGGGAGAGATCTTGTTCTGGTGTTGGATATATTTTCATTTGCGTTGCTTGACTCCTGTATGCTTAGTTTCATTGGTTCCGAATGGTGTTAGAGCCTCAAACCCTGGGATCCACCGGTAAGGCTCGTCATTTGCACTATAATTGATTCTAATTAGCTTTATTTCTGCAATAGCTATTGTAAGCATTACGTAGAACTCTAACTGGGATGAACAAAACCATTCAATTATCGGTTTCTACAGTATATAATATATGAGGGCAACTGTGAATTATTAGAAGTAGGATCGATGTTTTTTGATGACCCTTATCCTTTAGCAACAATGCCTTAATCTGCAGCCAAATCTTAGAAACAGACAATTTTCTGATGACTGTTGAGTTGATTCTCAAATTTAAAAAAAAATAAATAAAAATTTGATAAGCCCTCTCCTGCCATAATATTTTAGAAATGCAATTAACGTATACCGTGAATCAGTGAATCCTTTTGATCTGATATAGCTCTTAAGCTAGCTATCATAATTCTGCAGAACCGGAACTTAGGCGCCAATGTGTAAGGTGAAAAACATCTGCGAGAGACCAGCCCCAGTTAACAAGGATGTTTCCCCAACGGTTCCTCCATGGCCTGGTCCAGTGACAAACAGTCTTCATAAGGGGTCATCAAATGATGGATCACCACAAAAGGGGTACAGCTGTGTTTCTACAGCAACAAGAGATTTGTGGGATCGCCTCTTTGATGAAGGTTATAAAGCAGATGTTTCTGTTAATACTGATGACGGTGGAATTATTTATGCCCATGCTAACATTCTTGTAAGTTTATTTTATTCAACTTCGTTTACAATATGTTAAGCCTCTCTATTTTCTGTTTCATCTCTCCTTGAGATTTAAGGAGTCGGGGTTTTATCTCCCTTATTATATCCAACTGGACATCCCTTATCTGAATGTGGAAAATTGTATTTGATATGCTTACCTATTTGTACATTGTTTTACCACAAAATGATATAGTACTCTAAAACATGTATAGTTGTGCCGGTTGTAGAAGGAAACATTGATTTTTCAGTTTGAAATTGTAACCTGTCAGTAAGATGTGACAATGGAGTTACTGTTTATGCTAAAGCTATAACTTGATGCTATTGTGACAGGGAATGGCTTCTCCTGTAATCAAAGCCCAGTTGAAGCAATCACACCGGTTTCGTCGTCAACGATCAATCTCAATTCGTGGAGTTCCAGTGGATGCAGTTCGGGTTTTTATTCGATTCTTGTATTCTTCCTGGTAACAATGCTTCCCCTAGCGTTGCTTCTCTTTTACTGAATTTCTTGGAGTGCATTTGATGCCTTAAAAGTGGCCTTTGGGTGAGATTTCATACCTGAACCTAGGAGGTTTACATGGAGAACCCATTTTGAATTATGAAACGGTGAAAGCTTTTACCGTACCTAGCTGGCATTTGTAATGAATGTTGAATGATCAACTTTGTGGCTGTTTTCTGCTTGAATTCTTCATTAACCTGCACAAACATAGTGCAATAATAAAACATTTATCCATATGCCAATTTTATTACGACGAGTTTTTTGTTGTAATAGTAAGATGGCACAATGTGATAGTATACTGATTGTAACTGGTTTTTTGTGTTTAGTTACGAGATGAAGGAAATGGAGGCTTTTGTTGTGCACTTGTTGGTGCTCGCTCATGTTTATGTGGTTCCCCATTTGAAGCAAGAATGTGAGAAGAAGCTGGAGCATGGTTTGCTTACTATAGATAATGTTGTCGACATCTTTCAACTGGCACTACTGTGTGATGCCCCTCGGCTTAGCCTCATTTGTCACCGTATGATCCTGAAGAACTTTAAAACTGTTTGTACAACTCGAGGATGGAAAACAATGAAGAAGAGTCACCCGACACTAGAAAAAGAACTCGTGGAGTTAATGATTGAAGAAGATACTGTAAGGGATCTGTATGCGTTTGGTTTCTTCTTCTTTCATTTCCTTGTATCTGTGTGCAGGGCCATGGAAAGTGATGCTAAAACTCATTCATGCTTGAATTTATTTTCAGAGGCAAAAGGAGAGGATCAAAAAGATAAATGAGAGAAAAATTTATATGCTCTTATACGAGGCAATGGAGGCTCTTGTGCATATATATGAAGATGGTTGTCGAACAATTGGACCATCTGATAAGGACTTTAAAGAGAACCAGGCACCTTGTAAGTATGTAGCCTGTAAGGGACTGGAATTGCTCGTTCGCCATTTTGCTGGCTGCAAGTTGAGAGTCCCAGGCGGTTGCATCCATTGCAGGAGAATGTGGCAGCTGCTGGAGTTACACTCCCGCCTTTGTTCTGGTTCCCATAACTGCAGGGTTCCTTTGTGCAGGTGTACCTACTAATCTTTCTTTGTATTTTCTCCTTTTTCCTTTGATTCTAGGGTGGGGGACGCGAGGGTCAAACTCTTGGTGTGGGCGTGGTGGTAGTAAGTGCTCCAACCACTAGACCTATATGCACCGATCTTTCCCCCACGTAGTTTCATATAAGCATTGCAGATTTGAGTTTTAGACCATCTTACATAAACCGACAATGGGTGGAAAGGCTTAGAATCTTGTAATGACACAAGTTTTAGAATTCCTGAAGTGAGTCTATGCTCTCAACATGCCTCCTCACATGTAGGACTTGAGCCAATCACGTAGACAACTTACATTAGGTCATGTAGCCCAATATCGGGTCTACATGGTCTGTCTATTTTAGAAATAGGAGCATCGAACCAAAACCAATTGTCAATGAGATAGAGAGGCCCGAGACCATGTATATTTTGAGACTTGTGACAAGGCTCGAGAGTTCCCAATGTGAGATTTTATACGCAACAAGTTTAGGTAAGTGATGGCGATGCTTAGTAGATAGATAAAATCAAATTCATCCAACGGTAATCAATGGGTTGGTGAGCAAAAACATTTGCTTTGTTTTGAGCACGAAAGCTTCATATTTCACGTTATGGATTGTTTTGTTTTGTTTACGCATCCTGTGTCTAATTCTGGAAACTGTTTTAAATTCAGGAATTTTAAGGAGAGAATACAAAAGCAGAGCAAGAAAGACGAGATTATGTGGAAAATGTTAGTGAAGAAGATTTTGACAACAAAGAGAATCGCCGGAGCGCCATTCGTTTCATCGGCATTTGTCAGCACTTTGTGGCAGTGAAGTCGTCGTCTTTGTTCCCGCGCAATGGAACACCAGATTTTAGTGTTACAAATTTGTTGTGCTATCAATGTAACCAGTGTTCCGTTGTAATCTTTAATCTGTAATTTAATAAGACGCGGAGATGAAATTCCGGAATTCCGGTAAACTCACAAATACCAAAATTTCAAATATGTATTTTGGTTCTACAAAATATGTAAGATAATGTTTAGCTCAAGTATATATGTGAATGCATTGAACTCCTTGTTCATATATTTAAGACTTCTCACGTACAAATAAAAAGGGATGCCTAACTAATCGGGAAATTTTTCATTCATGCGTTTACTAAAACCTAAGAAATGAATAGATAAGTGAGTCCCATATTGATCCTGGTGGCATACCAAAAAAATCATACCCAATACTTCTCATTCACATTCCTTCTCGTTGCACTTTACCAAGTAACATGTCATTACATCGTTGAGTGTGAGTGAAGTAATGAGTTAGAAATTAAGATACGTACAAAGCTTGATTCCCTCCAATGTAACAACAAAAAAATATTGTTAGATTGAACCCATGACTTCTGGAATATTTCGCCTTTTCATAAAGGTGATTAGATCTTTAGAACGATGTAGTCTTTGTTTGCTTTCCTTAAAGTAGAACATAAATATGAAGACATTGACAATATGTCTCCTCCTCCCCCTCAATTATTTCACCAAATAATAAATTAACTCCATTATTCAAGTGGGGTAAGGGGGAGAAATTAAACAAGCCAATGATTAAAAAATATATATAGCTGCTAATTATTATTGATTTATATTTAATTTGTGAAATTAATGCAGACCACAACACCAAAACATTCTTCTTTTTCCTTCAAAATGTGTGGGACTCTCTGGATCTGGATGAAGAATCCTATCCTAATTATAAATGTTTATACTTTCAATTTTTCCCCCCTTTTCTTCTCTTTTAGCATGAGTGTACAGCTCTTCTAAGTATCGTTCGATGCTTAGCTTTTTCGACAATGCACCCGAAATTCTCATACAAAATCTGTTGCTTCGCTTCTCCGAGAGCCTTACCTGATGAACTGACTGGGGAATCTCTGATCTGAATCGGGATGTTCTTTATATTGGAAGACTTTCAAAACTGCCTTCCCTCCTGCGTTTCTTCTACTCCTTTTACATGCTTGTAACAGAACAAAACAAATATACTGGTGCTGCCGCTTCTTCAGTTTGGACATGTCGATGACCCTGGTACTATCCTCTAACTTATGTGTCTTCGCGTGCTTCATGTACATATTTTTACGGTGACAAGCTTTCATCATCTGAACTGTTGTCTTGTCTCACGTTATACCTGTTGAGAACTGGTAGAGGAGCAGTTGATGCTATGCGGAATGATCTAGCAGAGCCCACCAGTGTTCTATCCTGCATACTCCCCACTTCCTTGCAAACTTGGTCCAATATGTTCAGAAAATCTTTCACGATCATGAAGATTCTGAAAGGGTGGGCTTCCTCCTTTGCTGTATCCCCGTGAAAATATTCAGTGACCTCTTTCACCAGAAATAAAGCCTTTCTTTCATCAGCCTTGACCCTAAGAATTTCATCCTTGGCCTCATTTAGAAATACCTTCATCGAGTTGAAGAATTTCCCTTCCATATCGGGTTTCTCATATTGCAAAACCAGTTTGACCTTCTCAAGCCCCATTTCAAGCTTCGACAGGTAGCTACTTAGAACATCTGAGTCCATTCCTGCTACTTTCTTGACGTTGCTGAGGTCTCTGCCCAGCCCTGCAACCATTTGCAATCCTTGCTTTCTGAAACCATCTTCCTTGGTCTTGGCAGGCATGTTTTTAGCATTATCATTTGTAGAATCAACAACTTCACCTTCGGATTTTATGATCTCTTGGACCACAAAATGGAGCAATGTGGTCTTTCCATCAGTTGCCTTTACGTCTACTAGTTTTAATAGTGTATCAAGTTTGAAAGATTTAGCGTCGCCACGATTGGTCCCAACATTCATTCGGTTCCCTGTCTTGAGAACAGCTTCAAGGAGTTTGAGGAATAATCGACTGCTCTTTAGTTCTTCACTTGCGTCCTGAAGAATGACAAGATATTATGTATCAATTTTTATGTCAATATTTATAGAATTAAGAGATCATAAAACAAAATATTTAATTTCAGCCAAAGTACCTCCAGCGTTTGAAAGGACTTCCTCAGGTACTTCACTTCTGTATCAAAATTAGCTCTGTATAGCATTGCCTCAACTCTCTTAAAGGCAAATGGGATATCGAGCACAGCCTTCAGAAAGCGTTCAGCAGTCCCTAATTTTGAGACGTCACCCTGGTAGTCTCGAAGCTTAATTTCTTCTTCCTTTGTTGGAGCCATCTTCACCAGAGTTTCCAACAGCTCAACGCCCAAGCCTTCGGGGTTACCTGTTGATGTACAAACAAATAATGCACATGATGTAGCAAATATAAATACCACCAAAACACGGAGGGAACGAGAGAAGATTAACTAGTGGCTGTGATACATTGACACCAAGTGATCGAACTTTCAAAGGGCAATCCATTTCTGTTGACAAAGATTTCACCTGAACCTATTGCTTCTTTTAACGGAAAACTTTAAAGACGGTATGTCATTTCACAAGGGAGGTTGTAGGGAATCAAAAAAATTCTGTTGGAAAAATTGCAGGATTATTAGAAAGTAAAGTTTGAATATTACAAAAAAAAAAAAAAAAAAAAAAAAATATTAGCAGCTTGAGTCCTCGTGGTAGTAATTTGCTCTTATAGTGCTACAGTGCGTTCGTTCTCTCTTCTTCCTCATATTCATTACTGACATGATCATGTCTGTGGGTGGAACATACTGTTGCTTTTACTCTTATTTTCCAAGTAACAATAATGACTTCCAGCTTAAGCTTTTAACTGTCACTTTTGTCTTGAAATCCTCCATTATCTCCTTGTCTTCTTTCCTTTCCCAAACAGTGGCTCGATATAGAATTCGTGCCTCCGAACAATTTGTGTTACTAGAAACTCATTTAATTTTATTACTCCGAAACGAGTTAAGAATTCATGATATCCATGTTTAGTCTAATGGATCCCTAACCTTGCTATGCTTTCAGTAAATTGAGCAAACAATTTGATGACAAAGTTTCTATATCACTAAGCAGAATTAAGGAGTTAAGTAATCATCAGAAATGAGAAAGGAGTAATCACTCACCGTCTAAAAGCGCTTCGGTGACCTCATCTCGTGCAACATTCAGTGCTCTCAACAGTATAGCTATGTTTTGTGACTTCTTTGGATCCAAAACCCTGTTTTCCTGCTCAACAGGAGGAAGAACTGACCGTCTAGTAGTCTCTTTCGGGACTGAATTCCCCGGATTACACCCGAAAAGAGTCTCCATCATGTCCTCATTTAGCCTGCAAACAAATTAGACATTACCAAAAATCAGAATGTGCACACATTATTCAATTAGCTTGATTTCAGCTGAACTTTACTTACTGGAATGAGCTCGATTTCAGTTGATCCCACACGGTAGCACGGTCAGAGGTTGCCCGCACCTTGTCCCAGTGCAGAGGCTTCAGCTTGGGCTTTGCCCCTCCTGAATCTTCATTCTCAAAACTCTCTGCAGACGCCAAGCTTTCAACAACTTGCTCAGTAGGTTTTCTTGTCCCATTTTCGAAAGGCCCTTTCGGGATTGCTGCAAAGGAGGATTGTGGCTGTGGCTTCACCGGAACTTGAAATGGCCTTGCAGAAACCACTCTTTCTGAATCCCCAACTTGCCTTAATATCGTCGGTCGCGACGGCGGCGGTGGCGGAGGAGGCGGAACAGGGGCTTTAGATACACGCGCCAAATTTGGTGGAGGTGGGGAGGAGAATTTCGGCCTCTTATGAGAAAACGATGGAGCTCTCTGTTGGGCGTCGTGGGTTTGAGTCTGAATTGGCATTGGCGGCGGGGGAGGGGCGGAGGAGGCGGCGGCGCGGCCTGGTTCCTTGTGGTGGAAGAAACCGAAAGCCGGGATTTTGGAGAAGTTCGTTTCGAGTTGTGAATTGAACTGGCGACGTGAATCGGAGCACAATTGGCGACTCCATTGTTGCTGCACTGCTTCGGTGTGTAGTAGCTGCCGTCGTAGCTGATGGAGGAGCAGTTCGGCGAATGAAACGCCGTTTCGTTGCTCTCTTCATCGGAGGACGACATGGCTGACGGCGAGTTGAGGTTCTGAGGAGGGTTGGTCAAAGGAGGAAGCGGCTGCAACTCGGGACTCGGCCGGTACCGATCCGATATTTTGACCGAGTTGAGCCTGTGATAAGGAGACCGGTTCAATTCCGCCGTTGTCGGCCCGCTCACGGCTTCGCTGCTCGTCGTCGACGTGCGGCTGGGCTCGACTGTGCCAATGTAGAGGAAGCTCGAGGGTGGGATTCTTGGGTCGTCAGCGTATCTCTGGGAATCGGGTCCTCCGCCATTGACGAGTTTCTGAGACTCGGACGGGTGTTTGACTCTGTGGCGGTAAAGGAAGAAGGCGAGGCCGGAGAGCATCCCGAGAGTCACAATTCCGACCGAGGCGGCAATGGCGACTTTCTTCGTCCCCTTGGTCGGTTGCGGCGCTTGTGGGTTCTGCACAGGGGTGGCATTAGACGGCGGCGGAGGGGTTTGAGTCTGATCTGGGGTCGACCCAGATGGCAACTCATGGAAAAAGGGCTGGTCGCTTGAACTGTCGGACGGAGGCGGCGGTGGAATCGGCGGCGACGGGGCGTCCGGCGGAGGGGAGGAGCTGTCTGGAAACAGGGGCTGGTGGAGAATTCTTCTGTGGATTGCAGTTAGTGATTGGAATCGAAGAGCGTGGAGGGAAGTGAGGGAGAGGGAGAGAACAATGGAGAAGATGAGCTGGTGACGAGGAGCTCGCAATTTCATGGTGGAGTTTCAATGGCGGAGTGTTGGGTTCTGGTTTTGTTTTTGTTTCGCAAAATAAACCCAATGCATCGTCGTCGTCGTCTTCTTCTTTCTTCTTTCAGTGATTTTGTTGTTGGGATTTTGATTTTTTCTGTTTGTTTTGGTTGGATTGAAAGCCAGAAATTGGCACAGAGAGAGAGAGAGAGAGAGAGAGAGGAGAGAGAGAGTGTGAGTTGGAGGGGAAGGGAAGCTTTTTCGGCTGCAAGATCTGGGATGCGGATGCCCAAGAGTACCTTCTGACCTCAGCAGTAAGCGGCATTCCCTCTTTTTTTTATTTTTTTCCTTTTTTTATTTTTAATTTTCTTTACACCTATTTGTCATGTGGATTTGTTCATTAGTTTTTAAAAAGTTAACATATGAATTAATCAAATTATACCTAAGTATTTTATTAGTGGGGTTTCTTTTAAATAATCCCCTAATAGAAAACTAATTTCTACCAAGAACACTAGAAAAATTAATCTCTTGTGAACTATGTTAAGGTCGTGTCATATGATTCAAATAAAATTGAGTTTGTAGGGTACCGATCGTGGTTGATATGGAAGATATGAAAATTTTGAGTCACATCTCGATTTATAATACTTTACATAATTTGTTTTTTTTTTTTTGGGTTTTAGAGAAAGAGATGCAAAATTCTTATTACGTGAATGTGACCTATCTCTGACTCATTTTTGTCACTCGCATTCATCATTTGAGCTAACTCAAAGACTTTCTGCCTCTATAAAGACAAATTCGTCTTTTAAATCAAGAAAAAATGGTTTGTTTATACCTTCTGCTAGAGGCATTTTAGGTTACGAAGTTTTATTTTTGTTATTAATTTGCAGTTATTATATGATGTGGTATACCACATAGGATTTTCTTATTGAAATTTGTAGAGCTTAACTTCATAGTAGTCCTAAACAACTATACAATACAGTCACCAAAAGGTTTAGCATTTTAATCTAATTGAGGAATGATATTTAAATTCTTTAAAAATAAACTTAACTATGACTTTCTCAGACCTGTAATATACATTCTTTCGTTGCGTTATAAATTATATAGATGGTCTTACTTGAATTACTTTTATTACAAACGACAGAAATAAAAATTTAAGCTTAAAAATACATAAAAGTACAGGGGAGAATAAAAGAATGTGAACAGCATTACTAACAATAATACTTTCATTTTAATTATCATTATATTAGACAAATGGTGGTGTTATGCATAAATTTTTTACCTTCTGACACTTTAATTTTTGACAATCGAATCGAATAAATTAAAGAATATAAATTAACAGTATAAACTAAACAAATGGAACGATTTTTTGTGTTACTTTGTTAGTGTTTATTTTATAGTGGTGAAAAGGAAAGAATGAGAGTGTTGTTGTAGTGAGGAGAATCTAGTTTGGTGGCTGTTGTTATCAAACAAATGAATGGACGTTGATGACGACGTAGTGGTCCGGATCTTTTCCATGTTAATAAAGCGCCACAATCGTGTCTTTAGTTGTTCCTTTTTATTTTTAACTCTTATTTTACCTTTCATCGAGGCCGAGGCCCAACAACGCAAGGCAAGGCAAGGCACATATTCTTTTCATGTTTCCACTTGCTGCCGTTGGATCCCGACTATCCCGACTGCTTTTACCGTCTTTTATATCTGAATTATGATTTAATGATATTTTATAAAGTAATTTAAAAGTTAATAAAAACTTTATTGTTTATACTAATTGTATTTTTTCTTTCACTTAATCAATAAAACATTTGTGTTTATTAGGCATAGGCTAATGTACCAGTACGTCTATTGTGACTTCCACTACAAGAGTCAAAATACGAACAAGAACCCATAGAATTCCATAAATCTCTTTGAAAAATTCTAATCTATAAAACGACAACCAATTAAGTGCTTCAATATATTTACTAGGAGTAAGCACTATTGCTTGTTTCCAATACTTGGTGGCTTGATCGAACCAAGCCTCTACAATTTCGGAATCTCCTTGTTGAACGCCTTGTTTTCCCTAGTTGGAATAGGGGGTAAATAATTTAATCCAAATTTCCTGAAGGATTGTATTACAAAGAATAATTAGAGGAATTGTATCAATATCTGGACCTTATTGTATATAAATAAAAAGAATTTTAAATAATAATAATAATAATAAAATTCAGGGTTCTTTTCTTGTAATTCCTTACATAAGGATTCAAAAATTACTGGACCTTTGCCTACATAAACAAATTGTTGATAAAACTCCAAAATGACTTTTCTTTTGACCCAATTTTTTTTCACAAGTTTTTTTTTTTTATATTTTTTATACAAATAACATGAGTTTTAAATCATTATAAATAGTTAGAACTTGACTCTTCTATCATTCCCTCTTTTTCTTTCTATAAATGTCACATGGGCATCACCCTATTGTAAATATTGTAGGAAAAACAGAACCAACAACATTAGCGTAGGCCTTTTTTTCTTTAAATGCATTCTTTTAAACAGATGAACCGAATTGCAACATTCAACAGAAAAGCATTGAATTGAAGCTTTTGAAAAATGAAATAAGTCATTTCAGGACGATGTTGTCATCATATTTAGGAAGTAACTTCAATTGAATATCATTCTGAAGTATCGATTCAAGAAAAACATATTCGCTGTTGCCGAGTAATCTCAAATATTGGAGGAGGACCGGTGTGAATCATATAAAATAGAATAGGGTATCTGTTAGAACCAAATTTACACACCACCAACCAACTTAATATATATATTTTAAAACGGTTTTATGAAATTAATACGAAATAGAGAGTCGTTGTATGAAATTAAATTTTTTTGTATGAAGTTGAAATTAAGTGAAAAATTAAGAGAATAAAATGTAATTTACCCTTATTTTATTGTAACTTTTTTCACGTCTTCTTTTTTTTCTCTAATATCTTGAATACTCAATTAGTAAATAAAATTGGTGCTTTGAACTCTCAGAATCTATACGCAATTCTCCCATTTTTGAGTATCGCTTATAAAAAAAGCCCCAATGCTCAGGTGGCTACCATCACAAATAGAGAAAAACTAAGCTATATTTTTAGACCTATTTTTAGCTACGCTCCCTCGAATTTCATTTTGATCTCACTTTACAAAAACTAAGCTATATTTTTAGACTCATTTTTAACTACGCTCCCTCGAATTTCATTTTGATCTCACTTTGCTCCTATAACTTAAAACTCATCATTTTAGTCTCTGAAACTCAAAACTCGTTTTACTTTGACTTGTAGACTCTCTCTTCTCTTTAAAATTTATAAGTCGCCTCCTAAACATATGTGGGACCCAACATCCAATAAGACTATGTCATATGTGCAATAAATTTGATTATAAATCTTCATTATGCGTTAACATTTAACAATAGAGAATATTAAGTAAAAAAATAAAAAATTGAAGAGATGAAAAATAAAAAATGATTAGCCTACTACACCCGCACTCAAATCAAACCCACATAAGAAATTAATAGATGTAGGCAACATTGAGAGAATTTTGAGTTTTATAGAGACGACTTCCAAGTTTTAGAGAGCAAAATGGGATCAAAATTGATTTACAGGAGGCAAAGTGATGCGAACTTTGAGTTTCAGGAAGTAAAGTGACGACTTTTGAGTTATAGGGATCAAAGTGAGATTAAAATCGAGTTTCGGATGGCGTATCAAAAAAATAAGCTAGATTTTCAGTGTGCTAACACGATGTCAAGTGTTTCAAAATTTTCACATAATTTACAAATTTGATTCAAGAGGCTACATTAGGCTTGGTTTGACACACCATATAAAGCACTCGATGGGCCTAGTTATACGGAGCCAATTATTTGGTGCCCCAACCGGATAAATAGCCACCTGACTAATAATCTGGCCCCACCTAAATAATACGCTTCACAACGGATTTGGATCCTCTCCTGATCCTCCTGACCCATTATCATAGACCGTCGGATTTTTATCCAACGGCTACAATTATTATAACTTTAAAGGGATCCCTCTATTTGTGGTCGTTGGATAAAAATCCAACGACCCACGATGATGGATCAGAAGGATCCTCTCCATTAGCTAGCTCAGGAGAGGATCCAAATCCCTTCACACCTGCTAAATAGTCCACTCCAAAGTGTCTGTATAATTAGTCGACTCCATATATAAAACGCCTGCTATGTTCAATCTTCTTCTTCTCCGGCCGAAGCTTTTCTTCGTCGTCTTCTTCTCTAACCAAGTTTTTCTTCGTCGTCTTCTTCTTCTTCTTGGTGGATTAATTCTAATTCTAATTTGTACTGTTTATTTTAACGAAAAATCACATTTTTACATTAAAAAGTCAATCCTAATACAATTCATTTTACCTTTTATTTCGCCCTTATCGTTAAAACTCAAAGTTTTCATACTCTTTTTCATTAGTTTTCCTTATTTTTATTGCAGCACCAATTTCAATACAAACATTTTGTTTTTTGTTTTTTCATGTGCATCTGAGCTTTGTACTCTTCTGAGTTGAGGGTTTTAATTAAAGTATAAATCTTCAATCAAATTCGATATTGATTTTCTTTTTGGTAATTACGGGCCGTTGTGGCCATTACATTTTTGAATGCTAGATTTTGGAGTGGATTTTATTGAATCGGGAAACATGTTTCCTGGAAATTGAAAATTTTTGGAATTTGGAGCTTGTATTGTAGTGTTCTTCAGTAATCAATGGATGATTGCAGACATGAAAATGCGGGGTATATGTTATCTGTTTTTCTGGATTTCGCGGAGGAAAAGGTTCTTGTAGAGTGGTATGAGAAACTAGGAGGTTAGGTTCACTGGATTGGAAGGTCCATCAATGGGGTTTACCGGTGGAAAAGATATGAATAAAGGAAGAGGACAACCAGGGTTTTCCATTTTCAATCCTTTTTTTTTTTTTAAATTATTGTCGGTGCAATGGACAAACAAAAAATAACAAAATGGAAAACCTTTTACAAGCACAATATTAAATAGGTGAGTCTTTAATTCGATAATGTACCAAACACCTGGTCAATTTAGTCAGTAATTATCATATCCGACTGAAATAATCAATGCAGTTCGAGTTGCCAAATGAGGTCTGAAATATTTTCCCTTTTTATCTTGATCATTAGTTGATAATTATTGATCAATTAACTCACAATAAGAATTGGTTTTTGGGGTTTATTATCTACATTCTCCTTTTTACTTCAACAAATTTCTCTTAATTTGCGATCATCAGATCAACTGAATTGGAGAATATCAAATGACATAAATTAACAAGAGGTGTTTGAGAA